ATTAGGAGACTTGGGAGTCTTCTAGAAGATGAAGATTAGTGGGAAATATATTTCCTACATTGTATTAATTAATTGGAGTAAAATTAGTTTTCCTAAATTAGGATTTAATTCCATTCCATGTTTATTAATTTAATTAGGAAAGGAAATTCCTACAAGGATCTTCTCTAGTGTTAGGAGACTTAGGAGTCACCCTTTTTCGAAGCATCACTATAAATAGTAAAACTTCTAGTAGGATCAGGGATAATCAGCACTGGAGTTGATGTAAGCTTCTTCTTAAGCTCTTGGAAACTCTTCTCACAACGATCAGACCACTCGAACTTCGCAGATTTTCTCGTTAAATTTGTCAAAGGGAGAGCAATATTTGAAAACCCTTCGATAAATCTACGATAATAACCTGCTAATCCGAGAAAACTTCGAACTTCTGATGGATTCTTCGGTACTGACCAATTCTTAATTGCAGCAATCTTTGCTGGATCAACTTCTACACCTTTCTCAGTGATAATATGGCCTAAGAATGCCACTTTCTTCAGCCAAAACTCACACTTAGAGAATTTGGCATACAACTTCTCCTTTCTAAGGGTACCAAAAACTACCTTCAGATGTTGTTCATGCTCTTCTTGACTCTTGGAATAGACCAAAATATCATCAATAAAGACGATGACAAATTGATCTAAATACTTGTGGAATACACGGTTCATCAAATCCATGAATACCGCTGGTGCATTACATACCCCAAACGGCATCACCACAAACTCGTAGTGACCGTATCTTGTCCGAAACGCAGTTTTAGCTATGTCAGATTCCTTAATCTTTAGTTGATGATAGCCTGAGCGTAAATCTATCTTTGAAAATACGCAAGCTCCTCTCAACTGATCAAACAAATCATCTATCCTTGGGAGCGGATATTTATTCTTTATCGTTAACCGGTTTAAATCCCGATAATCGATACACATTCTCATGGAACCATCCTTCTTCTTGACAAACAATACCGGTGCTCCCCAAGGCGAAACACTTGGTCTAATGAAACCAAGTTTCAACAACTCTTGAATTTGAGTTTTTAACTCTTGCAATTCTTTTGGTGCCATCCGATATGGTGCCTTCGACAAAGGCGCTGCTCCAGGAACAAGATCGATTGTGAACTCCACTTGCCTGTTGGGTGGTCTTCCTGGTAGTTGGTCCGGGAATACATCCACAAACTCCCGAACAATTGGAACATCATGAGGTGTTTGTGCTCTTGAATTTTCATCAATAATGCTCACCAAATATCCTTGACAATCCTCCCGTCTTATAATCTTCCTTGCCTTCGCCATAGAAATCACCCGAGACAACGTTCGCGTCTTCGAGCCGTAGAAAGAAATTTGATCCTCCTCCGAAAGATAAAGAATTACCTCTCAGTCATGACAACGAATATCAGCACGGTAACGTGTTAGCCAATCCATACCGAGTATGAGGTCAAAATCCCTCATCTCGATGACGTATGCGCCGACCTTCAAGATTCGTCCTCCAATATTGAGTCTAAGGTTATCTGCCTTAGAACTCGTCACTATTTTCCGTCCTGAGGCTAAACATACCCCAAGAGGGTCAACAGTGTTAATGAATTTAGCTCCTATGATTTCTATACATTGTTTTGACACGAACGAATGCGTCGCTCCCATATCAAACAATGCAAAAATAGGAATATCGTTCAGAATAATCATCCCAGACATAGTACCTGGGTTCTGTTCTGCCTGAACTTGCTCCACAGCATACACTTGAGCTTGAGGTCCTGCCCTCTGCTGCTGAGGCTGCCCCTGATTCCTCTGTTGTTGCCTATCTGGACATTTCTTGAGATTATGACCAGGCTTCCGACAGAAAAAGCAAATATTCTGCCCTGCTAAACATTCTCCTGGATGACTACGCCCACATTTGCCACAAGCTGGAAATTGTGGTCGATTAACTTGCTGCTTCTGCTTGTTATTATTCTGGGGACCTTTCCACTTCTTCTTGTTCTTATCTTTAGCCTGCTGGACAGGAGTGGGCTGCACTGGTGGTTGAGCTGGAATTTGAGCAATTGGCTGCACCTGAATTTGGCCATCGCTTTTCTGGAAACTTGCGTCTACTTCTTGAGCCTTGGCCACTATATTAGCATAAGTCTGAATACAGTGTCCAGCTACATGGTGACGGATTTCTCGTTGTAACCCATCTTGGAATCGTCTTGCCTTTTTAGCCTCTGTGTCCACTAGATATTTGGCAAAAGATCCCAATCTAGTAAACTCTCTTTCATACTCATCAACTGTACGATTTCCTTGGGATAATGCCAAGAATTGACGTTCCATCTCAGCCCGATAATGAGCTGGATAGTATTTCTCTTCAATCATCTCCTTGAATTGCATCCAAGTGAGATTTTCTTTCTCCCCAGGATGCATGCCCCAGTAGGAGTTCCACCATAGCCGAGTATCTCCAGTCATTTGCAGTTGAGCACAAATAATACGCTGCCTTTCTGTGCATTCAGTGATCTCAAAAATAGTTTCGAGACCCTGAATCCACTCCTCCACTAGACGAGGATCTCCTTGTCCTGAGAATTTCTCAGGATTGTATCCACGAAATTGAGTAACGACTTCTGAGGTTGTCATCTCTCTTCGAGCGTGGGGTGCCATCTAAAATTTATCGTAAAAGATAAATTTTTAATACACTTAAGAAAATATATATATACTTATATATATGTTGAGCATATAATCTAATTCATAAAATTCGGATATCGTATCGAGCATAGTCTTAGTAATTTGCATATATTTAAAATTCATAATAAAGAAAATTTTAACAACACTTACCTGATAATCGGCGAGGTGTGAGTGTGGTGTGGTCGTCTTTTCTTGAAACTTTCTTTTCAAAACTTAATTTTTTAGTATACAGAGCATTTGAACTTTTAGCTATGATACCAACTGTAACACCCCGCTTATCAGAGTAAATTTTTCGCAACTTATTTCAAAAATACTTATAAATTTTTCGAAACCTTTTTAACTCGGGATGCTACTAGTCACACCTATCATGTGTAGTCGAAGGCCCTGAGTGCGCGATTACTCACAACCGAATAGACAACAACTGCGATCAAAACTCCCATTCATTCATCACCTGCGAGCTCCACGCCATTGCCGACTTCCTCGCACGCGTGCGCCCCCGACATTCCTAGGCCTGCCAAGCCTAGGTTCTCGCCCGCGTGAACTCCATTTGTGCACCCGGTGCTCTCCGTTACTTCGCTGCTAAACGCCAGCGCGTCCCAGTCAACCCCCGTGGCCTGTTCGTCTACCGTGCACCGCCGTGCTCCCAACGCCGCCTTCGTGTGCTCCACTTTATCGCGCGCATCCAGGCACGATGCGCTCCTCTCGCTCGTGCTCGCCTTCTCGTCATCGATCGACTCCAGCTGCTCGCCCGATGGCCATGGGTCCCATCCTTCCAACCCAATGCAATCTCCAGCTCGCCGTATCCAACCATCCTCTACCTATTGCATACCTCTCCTTCGAGCCTCCATCTTCCATGCTCGCTTCTTCCTCGCACAAGGCCCACAACAGTGGCTCACCTTCTTAGCCTTTACCTTCCTTCACCTTCGAGCTTGCCTAGCCTTGCGTTGCCTAGCCTTCAGCTTCAACATTCGACCACATCCTTTTGGCCAATCTTTCACGCATGATGGTCGGTAAATCGGACTTGATGGTTCCTCCAACATATTTTCCAACAAAACATCGAGATCCTCAACCATCCCATCACTTGACTCACCGGGGTTAATAACCACTTCTGTATCAGCTGGGCAGGACGCACGGGATGCTGGACTACGCGAACGGGCGCTGGCACAAGCAGGGTTATTAGTAATATTGCTATTATTAATATTAATTGTCTAAATATTATTAATTGTCAAATTGCAATTATTTCTCTAAATGCATATTTTTACTACTATTATTATTATTATTATTTTAAAATATGATGTGTATTATAAATAAAGATAATCCAGATTAATTTATTACTCACCATCGATCGAGCATCTCGAGAATTCTTATATCGCGTATATTTTATTTCGGCCCGAAGCGAGTTAATTCATCGGCCTTTTTGCCATTCTTTTCTAGCCAATGTAATTAATTTCGCGGCCCAACTCTTTATTGATTTTTGGCCCAAATTCAGATGTTTATGCCTTAGCCCAATTAGAAGATGATTTATTTTGGCCCATGAGATGTCGAGCTTCCAGTCAAGCGAATTGTCTCTTCTTCTGATCGCTTCTTCGACCAAGTCGTCGTGTTCAATTTCAGGTAGCGATTTTGTGGGAGATTCTCTTGGCACGATCACGCTATAATCGTCTCTTCACCCCTTCAATCTGACCGTTCTCACCCTTATCCCTCTCTTCTACTTAAACCGATGAGAAACCCTTCGATCAGTACCCCAATCTCTCAATTCTCTCGCAATTAAATTGATTTTGTACCTGCAAAATCCGCCAACAAGCCTTCTCGCCATTGTTGCTGGCGATCGCCACCGTGCACCGTTGCAGCAGCTACTCCCGGCGTCCTGTTCGTGAGCCACAACTGCCGTCCCGTTGCGACCCTTTTCCAGCGAGCACCGAGCAGCATCCTGCCGTCGCCGACGCCCTCTGCAGCGGTTGACCGTCGTCGTCGATTCCAGAGCAGCAACCGTTCGTGAGCTGCGTCGCTTCCAAAGGTCTCGAGCTTTGAGGCCCTCGATCGTCTCGTCTGTGTTTCCGAATTCTCGTAGATTCCCAAAGACGGGTAATCTTTTCGAACCTTTCTGTTTTAGTGTTCGTACTACCTTGTTGCTGGAATTATCTTCTCGTTGAATCGTTCGTTAGTATTTGGAATTCGGATTAATTATCGGTTCGTTCCTTGAATTTTGGATAAATATTGAATGAATCGTGAATTGGCGTGGACCTCCCGGAACTCTCGACTTAGTTTAATCGAGTCTGTTTTTTATTGCTGCAAATTAATGATAGATTCAGAGTCTCGTTAAATTCTTCCGGGTTGTATTATTCATCACTCGTGTATGTATTTTGTTCAGGCCGGTTATGTGTTGCTCGAACTCGGTTCTTCTAACATTTCGAAACTCTGAATGTATTTGGTTTGTCAAAAAATTTTTACAATGTCTTGAAGCTATTACTTTGGCAAATTTGTTTAATTTCAGAGTCCCGTTTTATTGATTGGAGTCGTGTCGTAGTCGTTATGTCGTTTGGTTGTTTTCGAACTGTTAGGTGTCGTTTCCTATTCCGAGCAAACCCCATTTTCGTAAGGTTTTCGAACTCTGAAAGGGTCATTATATTTTAGGTAAAATTCTGTGAAATGTTGCTGTTGAAACCTGTAGCCTGAAATTCTGTTCAATCAGCTACTTGGCCTTTCAAATTCGCAGCTTTTATTTCAGTTTTAGAAGGTTTTGTTCAAAAAATTATTTTGTAAAGTCTGCAATTCAAGTTGCATTCAGCTCGTGTAGCGCAGTGGTTACGCGTGCTTTTCTGTACGCGAGGTCGTGTGTTCTATCCCCAGTGCTTGTGAAATGTATCCTTTTATTTTATAAAAAAGCCAGCCCAGCGCACGGGCTTTATGGCCCGAAATTCGGCCCGCGCAGCCCGGTTCCCTCTCAGCAGCTAGCAGCCCGCGAGCCCGCATCCCAGCCCGCTCTCAGCCCGCGAATTTCCCAGACTTGTTCTGGCCCAGTTGCGTGTTTTCGGCCCAATTAGAGTATTTTAGCCCAAATACTTTGGCCTTTTGATCCAAATTTTGAATAACAGCCCAATTCGTTTTTTTAGCCAAATTTTGTGTTCCGGAGCCCGTTTTAATACCGATTTAAATTTTAAAAATATTTTAAAAATGAGAAAAAATTTTGGGAAAAATTATTTTAAGTTCCGAGACCCCAATTTACTTCTCCGAGTCATATTTTTCAAAAATTAGAGAGTTCCAAGTCCACGAAAAATCCGATTAAAACCCGTAAATCTTAATATTTAATAAGTATGGGTTTTATGTTAAACTCTAGTAGTGAGATAAATTATTGATAAATTATCTCGCTTAAATGTAGGTGTTTGAGGAGTCGAGCCTCATCCTACGTACTTGCTTTTGTGTGCCATTTTCTACCGAAATTTCCAGGTGGGTTGTAATTGTAAAATTTACTATGCCTTAATTAATTGTTTTTGTTGTAGTATGATCAATGTATGCATGTGAACCATGTAGCCTTCGATGTGAGCTATATTGGCCATCGAACGGTTATCCCCGTAGCTATAGAACGTACCTTCGGGTAGTCTCCTTTATTATTGTTGACAGTCAGGGCGTGAGTCTTGGCTGGTGATCCTCGTATGTAAGGCCAAGGCGTGAGTTTTGGCATTCGGGGTGGATTATTGCTCCTGCTGGCCGGGCACTCGTTGTAAGGCCTTCGAGGAAGGCGTTCGTGTTGGAACCCATGAGGATCTCGATATGCACAAATCACGGACAAACATTCAACATAAACCTATGCGCAACAGATCTAAAGGTTTGATGAAGAAAACTTACTGCTTAAAATTTATGTAGATCTGGCTGGCCCGAACAGTTGACCGCAAATCAAATCTTCTCGGAATCGAACGAACTTGACCAATCCGGAAAGCTGACGTCACGGCAAAGTCAACGGCGTTGACCGATCGGAAAATGGACCTTCCACGCGCTCTCACGCGCGCGAGTCACTCCCAGCAGCAGTGAACTCCCAGCGGCGCGTGTGGGCGCGTGCGGCGGCGTGCGGCGGCGATCTCAACGGCGATCTCTTCGTCTCGTCGTCCTGTTCGTCGTGGTATGGTCACTTGCTGGTTTTGGTCTCCGGTTTGAATGTATGATTGGAATCTCTATATACCTTAAGATCTTCTACTGTATTCTCAAACAACTTTCTAGATCTTGTATCAGTGGAACACAAGAAATAGAAGAACTCCTTGGAAGAGAGAGAGAGAGAGAGAGCTGGACGTGTTTCCCAAGGTGTGAGATTGTTCTTTTTTCTTCCATGAGCCTAATGCTGTATATATAGAGCTACAGTAGGGACCCTAATGAGAATAGGATAAGGGCTTCTAATATATTAATACTGTGGAGCAACCCCACAATTAATATATTAATAATATTAAAGTCCACCACAATAATATTATTGCACTCCCCTCACCTATCCCAAATTACATTTGAGACTCCTTATTATAATTATCCGATTTACCTCCCCATGTTTAAGATATAATGTCCATTAATTAATTCGATCACTAATAATCAAGAATTAATTAATATATTATATTACCGAAGCTAGCGCTCGCTCATAGCATTCATATTATGCCGGAATAAATCCACCTGCAGGGTTTAGCATAATATTCCTTCATGAACTCACTTCGGGGACATCATCATACTAACGCACATGGTGACCGTAAATATCCTAATACCACATCAAACACATAATGTTATTACCCAATTCATTAAGTATGTCGACCCGGCTTGGATCTCACCCAAAGAATCAAAGCAACAACAATTATGTGCACATGCCTATTTAATATCTTACGGGTTAAGAGCACGCAATAATTAACTGAGGCCTAGTTCGTTTACGACGATCAGTATAAAACGAACATCCCTCTCTGGGATCCTGTTCAATACATAAATGTACTAGTGCAACTAATCGGTCAAGACAAACCGTACGGTTGACACTACAACCGTTCCGATGGGTTGTTCAATTCCATCTAGGTTGTGAACCAATGATTCTTGTTTCGCAAGTAACTGATATAGTGATCTTCAGTACGCCCGATGACGACCCACTTATCTACATGCAAAACAACAGAACGTGGGACTTATTTAACCAAACATAATTCTCATTCATCAAGGAATAACAAGTGTAATATCCACTAAAGCAAAGCTTAAGTATATAACACCAACAATCTCCCACTTATACGTAAAGCTGCCGCTTTACTAGTATAGTCCTATCAATCCGTATCCTAAAAGACCTATGTCGATCCTATCACCATACATTTGACTCCCATTCCCTCTACGTGTTTGGCGAAGACCTTCTCCGGCAAACTCTTCGTAAAAGGATCAGCTAGGTTGTCTTCTGATGCAATCTTGGTGATCTCAACTTCTCCTCTTGCCACAATATCTCTGATAAGGTGGTATTTGCGCTCTATGTGTTTGCTTGCTCTGTGGGCTCGTGGTTCCCTTGAGTTTGCTACTGCACCACTGTTATCACAGTACACGGTAATAACACGTGGCAAACTCAGAATCACTTCTAAGTCCACCAAGAAGTTTCTGAGCCAAACTGCCTCTTTCGCTGCCTCAGAGGCTGCGATGTACTCGGCTTCCATAGTGGAGCCTGCTACGCACTTTTGCTTAGCACTCCTCCATGAAATGGCTCCACCTCCCAAGGTAAACACATTACCTGAGGTTGACTTACTCTCGTCCCTATCTGACTGAAAATCAGAATCGCTGTAACCCAGCGGAAACAAACTGTCTGCACGGTAAACTAACATGTACTCCTTAGTCCTTCGCAGGTACTTGAGTATATGTTTCACCGCAGCCCAATGTTCCCTTCCTGGATTACTCTGATATCTCGCTACCATGCCAACGGCGTAGCTAATATCAGGCCTAGTGCACAGCATTGCATACATGAGACTTCCTACTGCCGAAGCATAAGGAACTGTCTTCATGTCCTCTATCTCCTCAGTCGTCTTAGGAGACAACTCCTTAGATAAAGGTACTCCATGTCTGAAAGGTAATGTACCTCTCTTAGAGTTCTGCATACTGAATTTGGCCAAGACAGTATCTATATATGAAGACTGGGATAAGCACATCATTCTTTTCTCACGATCACGAATGATCTTGATACCAAGAATGTGTCCTGCTTCACCGAAGTCCTTCATATCAAACTGCTTAGACAACCACGCCTTTACGTCCGACAACTCCTTCTTGTTGTTGCCAATAAGAAGTATGTCATCCACGTATAGCACAAGAAACACCACCACGCTTCCACTAATCTTCTTGTATACACAGTGCTCATCCGGATATTGAGTAAATCCATATGACTGGATTACCTCATCAAACCGAATATTCCAAGACCTTGAGGCTTGCTTCAGTCCATAAATGGACCGATTAAGCTTACAAACTAACTGCTCATGCCCTTTTGTAATGAATCCTTCTGGTTGCTGCATATAGATGTCTTCCTGAAGGTTCCCATTAAGGAAAGCCGTCTTAACATCCACCTGTCACACTTCATAATCCATATGAGTGGCTACAGCTAAAAGAATGCGAATGGATTTAAGCATAGCTACTGGCGAAAAGGTTTCATCATAATCGATACCCTCTTTCTGGGTATAACCTTTCGCAACAAGCCTAGCTTTAAAGGTTTCAACCTTTCCATCCGATCCCCTCTTTCTCTTGTAAACCCACTTGCGTCCAATGGGACGTATCCCATCGGGTGGTTCTACAAGATCCCAGAACTGATTTGTGTCCATAGACCCCATCTCAGCTTTCATTGCAACCTTCCATGAATTTGCATCTCTATCTTGGAGTGCCTCGTCATAAGTTCTTGGGTCCGATTCTAGGTCTCCTGGAACTGAGTCTGATGACTCTCCAAGACCTATCCATCGGTCGGGTTGTGTAGAAACCCTCCCACTACGACGAGGTACCGTCTGTACTGGCACACTATTAGTGTTACCGTCTGATACCAATTGTTGGAACCCATGAGGATCTCGATATGCACAAATCACGGACAAACATTCAACATAAACCTATGCGCAGCGGATCTAAAGGTTTGATGAAGAAAACTTACTGCTTAAAATTTATGTAGATCTGG